GATATCGTCCTCTTTTGGAAGACCAAACAAAGTAATTTCGCTTTAACAACGAAACACACAACATCTTCACGACATGGCGGCGGCAACAACAATACTACAGTGAGAATAAAAGTTACGCCTTCTTTCTTTGCGTGAACATTTGGGCGGCGTTATGCAAATCTTCCCACATCGTGACGTAGACATGTGGGGGCGTGTTAGAACGAGCCGTTTTAGGTAGGTGTGGCTGACTCTTAACTTTTATAAAGAATATCTCTTTGGATTTGAGACTTTAGTCTTTGCAACTTTACAGATCTTCTTTATGCACCAAGAGCTTGTAACACTCCAAAGAGAAAGGAACAATTGAAATCACATCATATGACCCCTTTAACAATTTAACACAACCTTGCTTAATAAAAGTTTTAATTTCTTTCAAAAAAAGAAAGAATAAAAATGTACTGACCCCAAACTTTTCAACTGTAGTGTATATTGTTAGAAAAGATCTCTATTTTAAATAAATGCTCTGCTTTTTAACTTTTTATTCATCAAAGAATCCTGAAAAAAGTATCTCACAGGTTCCCAAAAAATATTAAGCAGCGGAATGACATGAGGATGATTAATGATGATATTAGAATTGACATTTTTATAGAAATAGCTATATTTATTATTCAGTGTTGGACATTTCAACAATACAAACAACAAGACTACAGAAACACTAATACCGGTGGTGTCATAATGGTGCTTAGCATTTTTAAATAATGTGAAATACACCACAAGTTAAAAGAAAGAAATGACCTATAAGAGTCAGGGTCAGTCAGAATCATTCTCATCATGTAGCGGGGCAAGAGAGAGACAATAGCCTGCTGAGTTAAATGATACGCTTGATCGGACAGTCTGAGTGAGCACAAAGAAAGATGGGATAGAATGGCTGATGCACATGAGAGAGGGATGAAGAGGGAAGAGTCCCAAGGGAAAAGGCATGGGAGGGTGTTTTCATAGCTCGTTAATGTTTCAGCAGGCCCGTGACAGGACTTCAGTTAGGTCTATTGTCTTATGGTGGATCCGGTGCTTTAGGTAACACTAAGCTGGTTGTCCCATGCATTCTTGTTAGCCATGCCTCATCCATAAACACCCCCATCTCTTCATTACTCAGAATACCTGGTCTCAGTTCCTAACCCCACCATATCATTCATTCATGAACCTTCTACACGTACCACCATGTTCTAAACATCTATAGACCTCTTGAAGTATGATAGTGTACATAGAGCCATGAGTTAATTTTTGGCTCTGCCACAAACCAGGGCTGCTTAATTAAAGAGATAGTTCACCCAAAAATGCACTCATCCTCAAGTTGTTCCAAACTTGTATGAGTTTCTTTCTTTTGTTAAACACAAACGAAAATATTCTGAAGAATGTTGGTTACCAAACAGTTGACGGTAGCCATTGACTTCCATCGGATATCAAAATAGAAAAACATTATTTTGCATCATAATAATATTTCACAATATTAAATTTTTTCCTGTATTTTTGATCAAATAAATTCAGCCTTGATGAGCATAAGAAACTCCTTTAAAAAACATTAGAAATTGTTCTGATCCCAAACTTTTGACTGGTAGTTTATATATATATATATATATATATATACACATATAGTTACTTTTGACAGACTTGGTCACTATGAACTATTGTTTTAAGGAAAAATTAACCAACAAACATTCTTAAATTCTCTTTTATGCCGATTTATCTTTATTTTGTTGCTTATAGAAAAATAGTCACTATGAAATGTTGTTTTATGGAAAAATGTGCTTGCTTTAGTTTTCAGAACATTTTTTACTACTCTCTTTTTTTTCAAGTAAATAAATCTTTTTTGTTACTTAAAAGACTTAAAACTGTTCAATAAAAGCATGATGTTTCAAAAGATAAAGTGTGAATGCATTTTCACAATTTAATAATTTTATAAAAAATAATTTTATTCAATTTTTTTAAAACATTGTTTGTATTTGTTTTTCATGTGAATTATACTTTAGATTCAATGAAATATGCTGTTGAAAAAGGTTTATTATTATTTTATATTTAATAAATTCAAGATGTTTCCAAATTTTACACAGCAGCTAAAACAAATGTGATAGAACTAGAATAATCAAGATTTTTTTTTTTAACCTTAAATAGATAGTTCACACAAAAATGAAAACTGTCATTTACTCACTTACTCACTCTCAAGTTTCTTCTGTTAAGCACAAAAGAAGACACTTTGAAGAATGTAGGTGTAATGTAACCAAACAGTTGACGGTAGCCATTGACTTCCATAGTATGGAAAAAAATACTATGGAAGTCAATGGCTACCGTCAACTGTTTGGTTACATTACACCTACATTCTTCAAAGTGTCTTCTTTTGTGCTTAACAGAAGAAACTTGAGAGTGAGTAAGTGAGTAAATGACAGTTTTCATTTTTGTGTGAACTATCTATTTAAGGTTAAAAAAAAAAATCTTGATTATTCTAGTTCTATCACATTTGTTTTAGCTGCTGTGTAAAATTTGGAAACATCTTGAATTTATTAAATATAAAATAATAATAAACCTTTTTCAACAGCATATTTCATTGAATCTAAAGTATAATTCACATGAAAAACAAATACAAACAATGTTTTAAAAAAATTGAATAAAATTATTTTTTATAAAATTATTAAATTGTGAAAATGCATTCACACTTTATCTTTTGAAACATCATGCTTTTATTGAACAGTTTTAAGTCTTTTAAAAGCCTACTTGAAATTATAATTCAACAGAAAAAATGTAAAAAGCTTAAAAATAATTATGTATGTGCATTCAAACGGATAATATGAAAAATGAGATCAAAATATCTTTGAAGTTGTAAGGCACTTCCATAACTTACTGAAAACTACTAAACATTTAGGAATGGGCAAAACCTCACCACTGTAAAGGAGAGGGTGGTGCTTGGTTTAACACAAGACTTTTCATTGAAAGCCAAAATCATAAAATTTGGTTAATCGACCAGTCCTACCACAAACTGCTTTTCATTTAGGTCAAACGGCTCAGCATCTGGTTTATCAGACCAAAAAACTGTTGCTCAAAGTCTATTGTGCAGATAGAGGAAGTGGTTGCGTTGGTGGCATCTCACAAAAGGCAGAACTGTGCGAAATTGTGCTAGTGTTAACATGCACAGCATTTCCAGGGGCAACCATGCTGGCAGAATGATTTAGCTGTTATGCCTAATTGCTTTCACTTATCTGTTTTCGCTGACTTTTATTGGCACGTAAAAGAGGATGTTTGTAAACTGAATTATGCGAATTCCATATTATGCTGAAAAGACTGAATATATATTCATATTCTCTCTTCTTCTTTCACCTTTTTAGGAGAGAAATCATCTCGTGATGAGCAGGTAGCTTGTGCCATGTTGGCTACACAGCTGGATAACTTCCTGGGTGGAGATCCGGTCCAGCACAGGCAAGTTCAAGGCTACGAGTCCCCAGAGTTCATGAACCTCTTCCCCCGAGGTGTCAGCTATAAGGTGAGGTGTGAGATAATGTGAACACACACAGCCACACAGGAAAAATGGTATAAAGCTGCCACTGGGGTGGTACCCTAAAGTAAAAAAAACTACATTTTTTACCTTATTTACCCTTAAAAGGTACATATTATTGTCTTAAATGTAAACTTAAAGTGTACCATTTAAAAGGGTACCGCCCCAATGACAGTTTCTGAGAGTGCACATGTATACAAACAGACTTAATATAAAAATAAACTGATCGTTACAGTTATATTGTATGCAGAATTAAATTAAAGAGCGCTTTTCTTTGCATAGTCACACTCTTTTGTTTCTGCAGGAGGGAGGTGTGGAGTCTGGCTTCAGAAAATCACAGTCCGGATCTGGACCCGTTCAGAGGTTATACCAAATCAAAGGGAAGCGTAACATAAGAGCCAAAGAAGTGGATTTGAGCTGGCAGAGCTTTAACAAAGGAGACTGCTTTATACTTGACCTGGGCGAGGTGTGTCTATTTAAAATTTTGGGGTCAGATATTTATTTTAAAGAAATTATTACTTTTATTCAGCAAGAATGCATTAAACTGATCAAAAGTGACAGTAAAGACATTTGTAATGCTATAAAATGTTTCTATTTTAAATACTGATCTTTTGAATTTTCTATTCATCAGTGTCCTATAAATGAGTACAGTGTTTTCAACACTGATGATGATAATTAGTTGATGATTATGTTTCTTGAGCCACCAAATCAACATATTAGAATGATTTCTGAAGGATCATGTGACACTGAAGACTGGAGTAATGGCTGCTGAAGGAAAAAAAATGCCGTTTTGCCTTTGCTAGAATAAATATTAAATCATAAAACAGTTATTTTAAATTGTAATAATTTACAGTCTTAATGTTTTTACTATATTTTGGATCAAATAAGAAAGTATTCGGATGCTGGAACCACACAAAAATGCTTTACATTGTACAACAACATGTCAAACCATGTAGCATTTATTTGAAATGAACATCTTATTCTGCAGACGATTGTGTCATGGATAGGATCTCAGGCAAACATCTTTGAGAAGCAGAAGGTGAGGGAGATCGCCACTCTGATCAGAGACACAGACAGACACGGCAAAGCCCAGATCACTAACATCAATGAGGGAGAAGAGACGCAGGAAATGCTACAGGTAACAACATGCCAAAACACTTATTGTTGAGCTCTGCCCTTCATTGATTCTTTAGCTTTACAGTTCTCTAGAATCCTAGTTCAATCCCTGGTTGATACTGTAAGTCTGACATCTCCTGTCACAGTTTCCTTGTCTAAAAATTCCCTCAGTACCTATAAGTAAACAACAAATGGTGCTAAAGTACTAAAATACATTTGGTAGACTAGCAAAAAAGTCACGTTTCTAACCTCTATCTCCATACTAAAATCCAAAATCCATACCATGGCCAGACAGTGATTCATCTTTTCTGAATCATTAAAATATTGGTGGCCGGAGACTGTAGAGTTTTTTAAATCTTAGCTTAAAAGTGTGCTATAAATATATAATGCTCATAAAGTCTGTTGAAATGAAGTAGAGGTTTAGACCCGGAAGCAATGTCATCAGAAAGTTAAGTTTTTTTTTGCACTCAAATAAAGTCTCTTTCTTCTGCTACAATAAAAAGATACTTGGTGCAATGCCAGAGCTGAAAGAAAGCACTCCAGAGGAGGACAGCCAAGCAGATGCATCCAATTCTGCCTCCCTCTACAAGGTACCACAACTAGCCATGTATATATTAATCTAAATTGTGGAGGATTACATGTGTATTTTGATGTTAGGTATCTCACCCATACCTATTATGCACATCCATTTATCTGATCCAAAATTCCTAAAAAGTATTACATACCTTGTCATTCCATTTCACGTGCATCCAATATGTAAAAATTGTCAATTCTTCATAGGTTTCAGATGCAACAGGGTCGATGAAGTTGACCAAGGTGTCAGAGAAAAGTCCATTTGCCAAGGACTTGTTGGTACGTGAGGACTGCTTTATCCTGGACAATGGGGCCAATGGAAAAATCTTTGTTTGGAAAGGTAAGACAAATTGTGTGTGTGTGTGTGTCATAATAACTTAGAATGCAGCTAAAATAGTTTAGTTTGGCCTGTATGTGTATCTTTTAAAGGGGTCATATGATGCGATTTCAATTTTTCCTTTCTCTTTGAAGTGTTACGTAAGTTGTATTTACAACACTGTTCCAGAACAGTTTAACCTAGGGTGACCATACGTGCCATTTTCCGATCGGTGTATGACATCAAAATACCATACAGACGGTTCCTAATGCTTTCAAAATGCTCTTGAGGTACTTTGATGTCATACACCGATCGGTCTGCACACGCAAACAAAGCCAAAACCTAGATATTTTAGGCAATATAGAGTATGTGGAAAATAATGTGTTTTTTGAACCTTAAACCGCATAAACACATTTCATTACACCAAATACACAAAATAATGTTATTTTTAGCAGCATCATATGACCCGTTTAATATATTAATACCTTTTATTCAGCAAGGATGCGTTCAATTGATTAAAAGTGACACAGTAAAGACTGCTCAATGCTGTGCATTGTTACAAAATAAATGCTGTTCTTTTGAACTTAATCAAAGAATCCCCCACAAATGTATCACAGTTAAAAAAACATAAATAAATAAAATAAAAAATAATACTACTAATAATGTTACAATGTTTCTTGAGCATCAAATCAGAATATTAGAATGATTTCTGAAGAATCATGTGACACTGAAGACTGAAGGAATGGCTGCTGAAAATGTAGCTTTGCAATCACAGAAATAAATTGCATTTTATAATATATTACAATAGAAAACAGGTATTTTAAATTGTAGTAATATTTCACAATATTACTGCATTTTTATCAACTAAATGCAGCTTTGGTGAGCATAAGAGCCTTCTTTCAAAAAAAAAAAAAACACTTTGGAATGTAGTGTACAATTTCATGGAAATATTTAACTGAAAATTAGGCTTGCTGTGATAGACGGTGTTGACGGTTATACCGGTGTTAAGCCGCAACATTGGTTACGTCACTTGCCCACCGCGTCACCGACCCCCACCGTCGTTTTGATTTTTTTATAGTAATAAAAATAATTTAGTTCAGTAAAAGAACAGACACTACAATTAAAAACTGAGCTGCTCAATGCAGCGTGCCGAACGACAGTCGCATCACAGATGAGATTTAATTTCTCCAGTGAGGAGAGTGAGTCGAGCTGACTGACAAGAAGAGAGAGGTGAGACAGATTGACATCAAGGTGTATGCCGTGCCTCCAAGCTTTCTTACTTGTTTTGCTAATAAACGTTGCTACTTTCTTATATATTTGGTTATATATTATACATGTTTGCTTATTTCCAGTTTTGTATACCTATTTAAACTTTATGTAAGTTATTTGTTATTTTATATTAGGCATAGCCTGCCCTATAGCATGGTGTATTTTTATTTGTTTTGTTAATAAAAGTTCTATGTTTTATATATACGCTAAAGTGAGTTTGACGTTGTATTTTGTTGTTGCATTCAAGCAATTGATGCTAAATTGCCCCTAATTCGAAAGTGAAAGTAAAATGCGCATGGCGCTTTTAAGCTATTTAAAAGCAAAGGAAAGCGAGGAAAAGAGGGAACGCCCCTGCCCCCGGCGGTGATACCGGTATTACTGGTGTTGTCACACGTCGATTACCCGGTGGGAAAATTTCCTCACCGTCACAACCCTACTGAAAATAAGTTGTTGCTAAAACATTGTAAAATATTTTTTTTCTTTCCTTGTCAGGAAGTGGAGCCAATGCAGAAGAGAAGAGGGCTGCTCTGAAAATGGCAGATGACTTCATTCAGCAAATGAATTACCCCAAGATGAAAACACAGGTCAGCTAATGTTGTTGTGTTTGGCTGCTCAAACAAACAGATTTTTTGTTTTGTTTGGTTATGCGAGTTATGTGCACATCAAATTCTTATTATAATGAGGGTGAGGGAGTTACAATTAGATTTACAATATCTATGTTCTAACATCATGCAGCAAGCAATCTTGCAGTGGTCTACAAAAGTACTCTGTGGTTTGCTATTCCATGTTCATTGTCTTTGTTCAGTCTTTTGAGGCATTATGCAAAAGAATTCAAAATCTTGACTTTATAACATGACCCCTCACCCATAAATCTGTAATCTATAAAAGATTTTTGTCTTACAGGTGGAGATTTTACCACAGGGCAGAGAGACCGTTATCTTCAAACAGTTCTTCCAAAACTGGAATTAAACCGCATCTCACTGCATGATGATCGGAGAATAAACTGCACTCAACCAGCTGTCAAAAGACTGTCATTTACTTCAAGCTGCTACATTATAAACAAATGTACAGTTTTATTAAATAAGATCAGCTTTTATTCATGGAGGGTTGCAGTAATAATGCATGTGAGTGAGAGAGGCTTTACTATTTGTCTGTTACCATATTTTTATGATTTTAAAAGGTGTTTATATTGATTAAAACAAATTTTGAAGAACTTGTAATTATTTCCCCCTAATTTTATTTAGAAATTAAAACTATGTTGCAACCTTGATAACCACAAAACCCATAGCACTTATACTTAAAAACAGAATAATGCTACTAACCATTTTTCAAGCCAACGCGCAATTTCACAAGACTGCTTTTTTCTTTATTTCTTCTTTTTTTTACTCATTTTGTGTATGTAATTGGAGCATGGCAATAAAAAGCATATGCAAAAACTGCAGCGAGTTCTGGGATTATTTTTCAGATCAGATGTGCAGTCCTGCTAATGCCCTGGAGTTCCCCTTTAGACAAATAAGATAACATGACACGGAAGTTACGGCAGTTAAGGGTCATGTGCAGTCTATCAGGGCATGTTACCATAGATTACATAAACTCATAAACTTACAGTTAATCAATTACAGGCCTCGCAAAATATGTCCTGTTGGTATTGTGTTTTCCAGTCAGCCTACCAAAATGCATCACCGCCCTGACGACTATCGTGAATAGTGATATAAAATTCCTTCCTTGATTCACAACTGTTCACTCGCTTCTAGAGGTAAACCGGATCGTAGTTGATCATTTGCACATGTTTTTAAGTCTTGCCAATTTAAACATTCAAGCGTTTTAAACCGTTCAGACGCATGAAGAGACGAAAGTGCAATTCGGATGCACACATTTTTATCACTGAGGTGCCATGTAAATTTATTTTTACAGATGTCCACATGCTAAAAATTTTTTTTTTTTTAAAGATTCATGAATTAAAAGATGGAAAATATCCATTACCATAATGTCATTTGAGGGTGTGAAAACACTGTTACTAGGATAAAGTTCATGCCATCAGCTGCTGTATCTTGAGCAGATAATCAGCATTTTCCCCAAAAAGGTCAAACATGTGATTTACACAACATGCCATTATCATTAGCCTACATTTTTTTGGCTGTGATTATATAGCCTAGATACTTGCTAGTGAACAAACAACATTGAGAAATTAATGAAATGCATGAACTTCTGGGTCATTCCTGGGATTCAGTAATGTTTCAGTCCCCCAGACTTTATACAGTCATGGTTCCCCAAAATGAAGTGTTAAAAGCATTTCAATATACTTTGATATGCCCCTTATAATGACTAAAAATAATTAGTTTCATTTTAATAATTTTAATGTTCCTGTGGCTCAGTGGTAGAGCATTGTGTTAGCAGCACAAAGGCCGTGGGTTCAATTCCCAGGGAACACACATACTGATAAAAAATTTATAGCCTGAATGCACTGTAAGTTGCTTTGGATAAAAGCATCTGCTAAATGCATTAATGAAATGTAATAATCTTTAGCATAAAATAATGTCTTATAAGCATTTTGTCACCTCCCTGAGGCACTTCACTTAGTTTGTACTTAGAAAATTATTAACTAAATGTGCACAGTGTCTATAATTTTTTGGCAATAATGTAAACATTTATTTGCGTTCTTTTCTTCTGAAAAATATTTTTCTAAAAAAATGCAAGATATTTGATAAAAAACAGACTTTAAAGTTATGTCCCTCAGTCTGAATTCAACCCTGTCTATTCTACGCCCATAATAGACTCCACCCATATTTGACATAATTGACCAGAAATGACATCATTCAGGTCTCTTTAATATCCTATATTAATATCATACTTCATTTATTAAAAAATTGAACAAAAAAATTGTCATGGTTTCAGTACATAAAAAAACATCTCATATCCCCAAAGACAAGTCATATTTTTGATGCATTATTTGATGTAATATGTCCACTTAAACTTTGACAAGCATCATACATCAGAAATTGCACCCACATTAGCAGCAGAAAGTCAATGTTGGCCATGCAGATATACTGACCCAGAAAGACGTGAACAATATGAGAGAGAAACAAAACTGAAAATGAAAATTTAAGGCAATATATCCCTTCAAATGTGTTACCGTCTTCAACCCCATCACACCATGTCAAATTAATATTTTTGGAAAAAAATAGGGAAGACAATTGAGTATGAAAGCATTTCTTGCTGATTACCATCTGACATCTAAATTATCATTATTATTATTATTATTTTTTATTTTTTTTTACAAAAATAAAGAGACCATAAACACGCAATTTCTCCATTTTTAACTTCAGTCCTATAAAAATTCGAAAATTATGATAAATTTGACATTTTTTTGTCATTAAATTTTTATTAGAGACACACAAGCAGTAGGTAGATGTTTGTTTTATAACAAGTTCTGTGTAAAATCCATTTTAAACCAATCCCATTTTGGGGCTGAGAATAAATGGTGTCTAAATCTGAAAAACTCTTAAAATAATATAAGGCCTTTAATGCTTGAGGTGGGAAAATATGTTTTTCTTTTTTAGAGGTTTGATATGTTCCTAATGATGTGGGGTATTTAGGAAATTAATCATATGTAGTTGAAAAAATGTATATTCCAAATTGAAATGTTATCGAATCCCAAGAATAACCCTTCTTTTATTGGCTTTTCGAAATGTAAGGTAAGAAAAAATAGATCAGTTTACTGGATCAAATGATCATACTTCTTCAATAATCATTTTCTAGTGAACTCTTTCACATGTGGACAGCATTCATTCTTTGATAGTTACATAACCTATTTACTGTCATATAACAATCCATGTTTTATATCTACTGGTTTATAAAATCATGCAGAGGAAGGATGCTTGCGCAAATGTGAGGTCTTTTGAGTAGTATGCAAAAGGTTATATAAAGGTTACTAAATATTAAAAACTGACGAACAACTCCACATACAGTCTTTTAGTGAGTGTTCAGTGAATCAGTAAATGCACATGTGGCATGATAGTTCATGCATGATATGCAGTGTGTGAGTATGTTCATTATCTTCCCTTTTGGCATCGTGCCATGTTGACTATACTCACTGAATCATTGCTGGGAAAGACCATATCTCATCACGTAGCTTTTCTGGCCTCCACCTCATACAATCATGACAGTAATAATTCAGGTCCAAAGTTCAGATTATGCAGACGATGAGCTAAAACGGGCTGAGAGAGCACCAACGTTCAGTTTCACCAGACACCCTCAGCGCTCACTTGCTTCCCCGACACTTCATCATGGGTAAGTTTCATTTGAGTCTCATGCATAGCTTTTATCATGATGCCAATTACAAGGTGCCATTACTAAGAAATTAATATTATTGTTAACTGCTTTGATAGAAGTATTATGATTATTATTACATTTATGAATTTGGCAAGCCCATGATGTCATCAACATGAATAATTATAATGATTATTGTTATTGTTATTATTATTATTTTGGCCTAGTGATTTTTTTGTTGTTGTAATTTTTTATAATATTTAAGTTAATATGTTATTTTATATTTACATTAATTTACATTAACAATATAAATACATCCCTCTAAAAAAGTTATAACTTAAAAAAAAAAAAATCTCTTGTATAGGTGAACAGGCAAACACTCTGAAGAGCATCCTGAAGGACAACAGTATGGCACTAAAAAGTATGTGCATGCTTGTGTTTCTGTTTAACTGTAACACATTACATTCATTTCAAAGTGGAAGCATAGTCAGATGAAACTAACGGAGTAAGAATCCTTTCTTTTCCTCTACCCCAGTGCCCCAGAAGCAGAGTAACTCTGTTGGGGTTGTGCGCTGGACACTATCAGAGAAAGATATCCAGGTCCACAGTTCTGCACCCACCAGCCCCTTCAAGAACAGTAGTGGGTTTTCTACCCGTTCACAGGTAATACTAACTCACGGATGGATGTTATGGTAGATCAATGTTCGGCCATGATCACAATATTTTGTGTTGGTTTCCAGCAAAGGCAACGTCAGCAAAGCCTGAATGATCTCCGGAGTTTGGATGAGTGCATCAGATTCATAAACCACTGGAAGCAACAGGTGGCACAAGTTTGCAAGGTAGGCCATGGATTATTTTAAATATATAATATATATTTTACCAGTAATACTGGTAAATCATCAAGCATCATATATATATATATATTTTTTACCTTTATAGAGGGCATTTTCCACTAATCTCATTAATACTTTCATTTCAAATTCTTACATTTGATCTATAAATTCAATTATAAAAATGTGATTATCTATACATTATCAAATTAAATCACTTACACTGAAAAATACAGCTGCATTAAATAATATTATGAGATTCTTTTAAATATTTTTGAATATACAAACAAGAAATGATGGTGGAAATGATACTTTTCAACGAAATTAAAACGCCAGTAGGTGCCAGTAGTGAGCATTTAATGAGTGAGTCATTGAGTCGTTCATTCAAACGATTCGTTCCAACGGCATATTTACAAGATTGAGTCGTTCATTCAAACGATTCGTTCAAACGGCAGATTCATCAGATGTTTATGCGTGGGCTAATGAAACTTTTAGTCAACCGATTCGTTCAAAACACAGAATCAATCAGCAATGAATCGGTTGTTTGCTGTGAGATGCGGTGTGTTTCCGCCTAAAATGTAAGTGACCTAATATTATTGTATTTGCTTATTGAACTGTTTATAGAACTATTAAACAGTCGTAATATATATATATATATATAAGCAATATCACACAAGTAGACGTGAGATATGGCTGTATATCAGCACGGCTGTGACTCGGCCATAGGCACGAGGCTGCAGGGCAGGCTGAGTGCTGTGGGTAATCACAGCGTGTCGATTTAACGTTACAGCCATATCTCACGTCTACTTGTGTGATATTGCTTATATCTTGTTGACGGGATCATGAGCGCTGAACGGGCTGCTGACGTCCTGGAGCTCACAACTCCGAAAACGTCCAAGCTAATTTTCAAATAGACGTTATCTTCATTAACAAACCTCATATTTAAGTACAAACAAGTAGATTCTCGCATAAAATGCTCTTAAAACTACACAAAAACAGTATTATTTTTTAAAATTATAGTGGGTTTGGGCATCCGCACACACACCTATATTTAGACAGATGTGTTTAACAGCCTAAGTTATAATTTCTTGGCAAACTCCTCTTTGCGTGCAAACTCAACGGCAATCAGTGACTTTTTTTTATTATCCTTGCTTTTATATGATAAGCGTTGCCATGAGAGAAATGTATGAGGCTTGATGATTAGTTTATGTTTGCCATGGTAACTGATTACAACCTATATCAATAACCTAGCAATACTGTATGTGAAATTCTGGGCCTTGTCACGCTATGTATGTGATGAACAGTGTTCATATCATATATCAGTTATTTATTTTGGCTTTATATAACAATATAAAAGAAAGTTATTTAATATTGTCTGTAATATGCTTATTATACGTTTCCCTTTGACATTAAGAACCAAAATTGCATCAGGAGACGGCAAAGGAAGAATGATTTTAGGGATACAGCAATTTTAAACCGATACTGATACGCCAATATTTATAGTCATGTTATGGTCAATAACTGATAAACAGACAATATAAAACAATATCTTTACTATTGTTTAAATAAACAAACAATAAATCACAATAAGAACTAAAATCATTTTAAATGCTACAAGAAAAAATATTGTCTCATCACATTATAATGTACAATATGAAAAATGGATATTCATTTTAAATTTAGCTAAAAATGTAATTTGACAGTGTAATTAAATTATCAGTGTTTTTAAAGATTTAAGAAATAGTTCACCCAAAAATGAAAATTCTGTCATTACTCACCCTCATGTCGTTCCAAACCCATAAGACCTTCATTCATCTTGAACCACTGATTTCACATGGACTATTTTAATGATGTCCTTACTACCTTTTTGGGCCTTGGACGTGGTAGCTCCGTTGCTGTCTATGCAGGGTCAGAAAGCTCTCCCGATTTTTTTTCAAAATGTTAATTTTTGTGTGAAGTCAGCATATAAATAGGGGAAGTGAGCATGCACAATTAAATATCCAAAATCAACTGATAATAAATTAAACAAACATCTATATGCTTCCTATATATCATGCATCCATTAATTTGTGTCTGTGATTCACAGAATGAGGATGATCCCGGTGAAGGGTGCAGCAGTCAGGCAGAGAGGCAGAAAGACCCCAGAACTGAGCGCAGTCTTGAAGAGTGTCGCAAGCTTATTCTGCAGTGGGCCAGTGAACTTCAAAGTGCAGACAAGGTGAAACTGACTACTACAAAAAAAGACAAACATCTCAATCATACTGTTCTGTTCATCATATACGATGGCTTGCTCAAACGAAGCTTTCTTTGTTCCTGTGTGACCCCAGCTCTCTAAAAAGCATCCATGGATGAAGGAGAGGATTGATGAAGAGGAGGAAGAGGACACAAAGGAGGATAAAGATCAGGGTGAGGTGGTGCAGAAGATCACGAAGTGGGCCAAAGAGATACAGAGTGTGTCAGAGGTGGGGCAGCAAGCATATCTGTATTATCTAGAACACAGGTCTCTTATCCGTTGTCACAAACACATTAAGTTGTTCTAAGTCCAGTCATGGTTTTCTGCTTTCTTGGAAATAGTTTATCTTTCAAAGTCTCCACTTGTAAAAGAGCACTTTAATATACAGTACATGTACATTTAACTAGCCTATAGATAAGATAATCAGAAGTGATGAAAAGTATGTAATATTTGTTCTTTCTGTCGAAATGCAGAGCTTTGGAATGCTGGGAGATGAACTGGCACGGCTGTTGCGTCTCCTGGGACTGAAGAAGAAGAAGCTGGTTTCCCTCATGCCACTGCTGGAGTTCATCACTTGGAGTTTGCTGAAAGAAGACAGCAAGGTGGGATGGCTAGGAATGTACTTCTTTCACCGTAGTGTAAATGTTTTGGAAAGTGGTGCCATTTAATGAGAAATGGCGATTATATAAAACTAAATAAAGAAAATTAATATTAAAATAAAAAAAATTAAAAATCACACATAGAATTACTATAGGCAACAGCAATAATCAAAAGATGAACATTTATTATTAAGCAAGAACACCCATGGACAAAATACAAGACAAATTTAATTTATTTGGGTGAATACAGCATAGTTTACAATATTACATGCATTTAAACTCGTTTAACAAGCATTTTAGAAATAATAAAAAAAACATTTTAATTTAAGTGTAGCTAAATTTAAGTGTATTCAACCGTTCTCTGTGATCGCTTTTTACCGAAATAGTGCTAATTCTCGTGCCGGTGGATCGCCGAAATCTGAGCCGGTGAAGGGCTGCTGTTCACGGGGGAACTGCGAACTTTAGACTGCGGCCTCGCGTTTCACTCGTAGCTGAAAGATGCCGCGACTGACTACAAAACCTGCCCAAAAACAAACAGTACTGAAATTAGAGAACATATTTTAACATAAAATTTAATTACACTCAGTATTAGAACGAATAAAATCCATTTATGTTATGCAAGGCAAAGGAGTTTCCAGCGCGAAACGACCGCGGCTGACGCAGCTGACTGACACCTCGTCCTTATGTTGCGTTGCGTAAAATAATATAATTTACACCACATTAAAGACTTTATAAATGAAATAAAATGTATACAAACCTTTATTTCCCAGAAAGAGTGCACCAAATCTGTGGCAGCGCTGAGAATTGCTCTCTCCTGTGGACTTAAAAAGCCTGTGCTCTCAGCAGCTCCGTTGTTGATTAGTTTCAGCGG